GGTTTTGGAGAAGATTAGTTCTTCTTAGATTGATATCAAATAAGAGTGATTACAAACATATATATAGAGAAAAACTCATTGATTTACTCCTTGTTTTACTCCCTTATTGACAAATTGTTTCCCTCCTTGATTCCTTTTGACCACTTTGATCAATACAGTGCAAATTAACCTTAGAACCTGCGCATGACAACCTTAAAGCATTTACGAATCAGTGATCTAATCTTTAGAACCAGTGTTGTTTGAGTCTTGGGATCTAATCAGAAACGTTAAAAAATCTCCTTGTTCTTTTACCTTTGGCATCATCAACTTAAGAGATTCAATCTTAATGCAGATTGCATTTACCTTATAAAAAAACATGAGTCTATATATGACCAAATTAACTTGCCAAAACATATAAAAACAAATTAAGATGAAACTTTTTAGGAAAAGATAGAGAATTGTTAGAGCTCATTAGATAAAAAAAACCAAATAAAGATTTGAAATGTAGCGATATATTATATGTTGATACTAATTTCCTATAAAAGATTACTAGACCACCAAACACGCACTTGAATTTTCATAATATCACTTGCCGTGTGGAAAGTTCTCAAACCCAAAGTGTAAAAGAAAAAAAGATTGGAATTTTATAACACTGGTTCCTTTGTTTTGTCATGTTGGCCGTTTTCTTTATCATGTACATACAACAGAACTTGCTGGAGCAATTGGGTTTGTATATTTTTCAGGTAATTCCATTTTCGCTGTTGTATTCTCTCAATAGACACAAGTTGTTCGATAAAATGCTTGAATGAATTTTTGTATACTCTTTCGTCTACCTTTATTGAAAAGTACAATCTTCAAGCCCTTTTGATTTACTCTGTAACTTGCGCCTAGGTCACTGAGGAAATTTTGCTAACCAATCAGTGGTTTTGCTCAAGCACGAAGGATCTGTTTTCACTGGTTGTATCATTGTGGCAGCTTACTCAGGTACTTTTTCTGGTTTTTGGGTATACATATTTAGCTTGAAAAAGTCAACCTCAAATTGGTCGTTATCACTATTGCTAATTATGTAGCTTGAATATTTCAATGGACAAAGACTTCAAATTTGGCTCACACCAGCGTGGACTTGGACTTCTGAGTCAAGACTTGACCGGAAGCACTAATTTACATTGCATAATGAAGAAGGTACTGCCTTCTTGAGAACCACTTTTGAGTTTTGAGCTATCTATCTTCCTGAAACTATGTGCCCACATGGGATCTCTCTGACTCTTTTAACTCTATCTCTCTTGTTAGGACAACCATGCTGCGAAATAGATACGCTACTGCAGGGGCAGTACTTGAAAGATGGGCAAGAGCTCGTATCGGCTTTCAATATCTTCAAACTCAAGTTTTTCAACTTCAAGAACTCAAGCAACTGGTATCTTGGAATTTGGTACAACAATTTTTATCTTAATGGTAACGACAAGTATGCTGATGTTCAAGACAGAGCCGTCTGGATTGCTAACCGTAACAATCCAATTCCGGGACGTTATGGAAGCCTCACAGTTGATTCTCTTGGCAGATTGAAGATTTTGAAAGGAGCATCAAGCTTTCTTGAGCTGAGTTCTATAGAAACCACAGGAAACACTAGCCTTAAGCTGTTGGATTCTGGAAACCTTCAACTCCAGGAGATGGATTCTGATGGATCGGTGAGGCGGGTTTTGTGGCAAAGTTTTGACTATCCGACAGATACACTTCTTCCTGGGATGAAACTGGGTTTCAATGTCAAGACCGGGAAGAGATGGGAACTGACATCATGGCTAGGTGGTACTTTGCCTGCTTCTGGATCTTTTGTCTTTGGGATGGATGCTAATATCACAAACCGATTGACCATCTTGTGGCGTGGAAACATGTATTGGGCAAGTGGGCTCTGGTTTAAGGGTCGGTTTTCCTTGGAGGAATTAAACAAGAAGGGATTCATCTTTTCCTTCGTTTCATCCGAGAGTGAACATTATTTTATCTACTCAGGTGATCAGAGCTATGTGGGAACGTTATTTCCTAGGATAATGATAGATGGACAAGGCATTTTGCAGACAATCAGGCTTGATGGAGAGCAAAAGCATGCCCGTTGTTCTCCCTCTGTTTTTGGTGAAGAGCTTGAATCCGGTTGTTACCGACAAAATTCCAGGTATTGTGTACTCAAACAATACGAAGAGGTCCCCGGATCATGGGATTGTTCAGGGTTAGGGTATGGTTACACTTTCATAAGGATGTCAAATGGTTCGAGTTATTGTTCACGTTTTGGTAGTTATACTTTCCGAGACACTGTATCCCCATTCTCAAGCAATGGATTTGTACTTGATGAGACTAAAGGGAGATTAAGCTCATATGATTGCTATGTTAAATGTCTCCAAAACTGTTCTTGTCTTGCCTATGCTTCAATCCATGTGGATGGTACAGGCTGCGAAATCTGGAATATTGATCCTACAAACGAAGGGTCTTCTCATAGACCCAGAACTATATATATCCGTGTAAAAGGTACAGAAGTTGTGGAATAATATTATTGAAGTGTCACTATAACTGCAGCAAATCTATTTCGACACTAAGTTTTCTGGAATACAGGAGTTGTGGTAGACCAAGAGAACGAAAAGGCGGCAACTTGGCTAGTTGTTGTGGCATCTCTGTTCCTACTGATACCTCTGACTTGGTTGATCATATATCTTGTTTTGAAGAAATTTAAAGTAAAAGGTAAAAATTTGTATCAGAATCACACTCACACACTTTCTTATGGGTCGTTATCTTGCTAACAAATTCACCACTTTTATTTGTGTGTTTGATCCAGTAACTGTAATGTTTCGCGGAATGTTCTACTTTTTATGGAGGAAAATCATTCCACAAAGTAAGGCTCAGCTAAATAACTTTTGTATAAGCATGTATGAAACATATCCATGTTGAACTAAGAATTGTGTATTATTTAGTGATTGGTTGCATACGGAGGAGGCTTCAAAATCTGAGGGTTGGTTCAACAATAATAGACCAAGAAATGTTACTACGTGAACTGGGAATTGATAGGAGAGGCCGACACAAGAGAAGTGGAAGGAAGAATAATAACGAACTTCAGATATTTAGCTTTGAAACTGTAGCCTTGGCAACTGATTACTTCTCTGATGCAAACAAGCTCGGTGAAGGAGGTTTTGGTCCTGTGTATAAGGTAGTGCAGATTCTTCAGATTTTGATAGTAAATTGAGAAGATTTTGATGTTTCCGCTACTCTCTTGAAGGGGAGGTTAATAGATGGAGAAGAGGTGGCTATTAAGAGACTGTCAATAGCATCAGGGCAAGGACTAGTGGAGTTCAAGAACGAAGCGATGCTTATTGCAAAACTTCAACACACAAACCTTGTTCAGTTGCTAGGATGCTGCATCGAGAAGGATGAGAAGATGTTGATTTATGAATACATGCCCAACAAGAGCCTTGACTACTTCCTCTTTGGTAAGCTTTCTTTGGAAAACTAAGAATCTATAGAAACCAAATCTGAGTAAATGTCTCCAAATCTGTTGTGCAGATCCCTTGAGGAAAAACGTTCTGGATTGGATGTTGCGGTTTAGGATCATGGAAGGGATAATTCAAGGGCTTTTGTACCTTCACAAGTACTCGAGATTGAAAGTGATACACAGAGACATCAAAGCCAGCAACATTTTGCTGGACGAGGATATGAATCCCAAAATATCGGATTTTGGGATGGCTCGGATATTTGGAGCCCAAGAGTCCAGAGCCAACACCAAAAGAGTAGCTGGCACATTGTAAGTTAAGAGTGACCAGAAACAATGAGAAGATTTCTCAGATCAGATTTTAATAATGTTTTTCTTGTGTTGATGTATAGTGGCTATATGTCTCCGGAGTATTTCAGAGAAGGACTATTCTCGGCTAAATCAGATGTGTTCAGCTTTGGAGTTCTTATGCTCGAACTCATTTGTGGAAGGAAGAACAATAGCTTCCACCATGACTCAGAAGGACCTCTGAATCTCATAGTTCATGTAAAAGCTAAACTTCTTCCTCTTCTTGTTTCATTTGTTAGCATCTCGCTTTGCTTATTAATTAGTCTTTGGATCTTTGAAACTCTGTTTTCAGGTGTGGAATATGTTTAAATTGAACAGAATTCGCGAGGTGATAGATCCGTCTATGGGAGATTCTGCACTCGAGAACCCTCAAGTGTTGAGATGCGTTCAAGTTGCTTTGTTGTGTGTACAAGAAAACGCAGAAGATAGACCAAGTATGTTAGATGTTGTGTCCATGATTTACGGCGATGGCAATAATGCTCTTTCTTTGCCTAAAGAGCCAGCTTTCTATGATGGTCCTCGGAGAAGCTCGCCGGAGGAGACCCCAGAGCCGGAAAATGTATCGGAGAATAGAGTTACCATCACGGTGATGGAAGCAAGGTGAGCTGGTGAATTGAATATTAAAAAAAATACTGATCGAATGTGTGAATCTCATTGTTGCTTGAAATATTTTACTTCTTTTAAAAATGTTTAATCAGTTAAATAATTATGAGATTATTCAAAGCATATTTAGCATGTATACCATAATCAAAGAATATCTTTTATATAAACATAAATGGTTTCATATATGAGCTTTATAATATGGAGAAACCAATAACATCTTTAAAATAAAAGGTGTTAACAAGCACCCGTACAACAAGAGATCAAACCAAATTAAGAAAACAGGGATCAAAAACTGGAAATCGGTCAAGGGTTCCTATAAACCCTTATTTATTTGTTGGACGACACACAAGGCAAAGAGGGTACACAAGACTTGAAACACAGTTTCACCTGCAGTAACTTGAATAAGCAGAGACAACTTACTCAAATAAAGGTAATATAGGATAAAAGAACCGAATGCACATCATTGTTTTACGCACATTATCCCACACGCGGACTGTTGTGGTGTTTTTCAAGCCCATGTCCAACTTTCCCATTAGTATGATATTGTCTGTTTTGAGCCCAAGTGGTAAAACCCGCACGAATTTCTCTTTGGATTCCTTCCCATATTAAGTAGAGTTGGCATCTCTTATATATTAGACAATTCTTGTCTAAACTTTCGATGTGGGATTTGGATTGATATCCTAACAACTCTAACATATAATATCCTGCATCCTATGGTACACACACACACAAAAAAAAAGAGTATTGTTAGATCATATCATTAGTTAAATTAACCAAATCAAAGTTTGAAATTCAGCGATTATTATGGAATTTGTCTCAAACTAGTGCGAATGTAAAGAAAAAACGTACTTCTGTAAATTGTAATTCGTCCTTCTTGAATATTTTAGAGAAAGTAATCACAATGGGGCCAGGCTTAACAGGGCATGCCGTTGAATCACACAGCCGGATTTTTTTTAGCCATCTAGCGGCTCCCCTCCGGTTTGTGAGATATACTTGTACAATTGCATCACTAGGGATTTCTTCGCCTGTTCACACCAAGATTTTTATCAAACCATAGGTAAATTATCAAAGAACCAATTACTTGAAAAGAAAGTTCACTTGAAAAATCATCGAAAGAATCATTAAGGGAATTACCTACTCGTAGTATCGGTTACCGTAATGTCTCCAATAATGTAAGACTTAAAAGGATTGTATGGAGCGACCTCCACAGTTGTGATA